AACAACGAAGAGATTTCCATCGGACGGCGAGGCACGAAAAAAATATAAATTGACATGTTCTGGTTGCCAAGGATAAGGGCATACAGTACGGACATGCGCAAAGAGACCTTGTAAAGACACATCTACGACAAATGACTTGAATAATACTGATTGCATGTAATTGTATTCGAAGAGAGGTCAAAATATTTCGAATAAAAATAAATTCGATTATTTCGAATAAAAATAATTCTATTGCAGTCGAATTTATCAAATTGATTGTAAAATATTGGTAATTTTTAAATATATAGAAAATATCAAAAAAAGCTTGTTTCATTGTTTTAATTTCAAAATATGACTTGTTTTTTATCATTTTGAAATATAAAAATATGAATTTTATTTTAGTGTTTTTCCCACATAACTGAACACGTATTTTTCAGTGAAAGAAAGGTGAGAAATTTTGATGATTGTAAAGAAATATGCTGTAAAATATGGAATACATTAACTAATATTTGAATTTTGAATGGAACGAAGGGACTTTTACACTCTAATTAATAATTAATACATGAATAAAGATATGTGTGAACAGTTGGCATTCAATTCTGTAGATAAAGATATGTGTGGACGGTTGGCATTCATCATATAATAATAATAATAATAATAATAATAATAATAATAATAATAATAATAATAATTCGATCATTTCGACTACATTTGGAACGTATTCGACGGCATGTTATGCACATATTTAAACAAGCTAATTCTTTTTTTTAACATATATATATATATATATATATATATATATATATATATATATATATATATATATATATATATATACTAGTGTAATTGCTTATCTTTATTCACAAAAATTCCTCTTAAAATGCCAAAAACTTTCGTCATATATCTGGAGGAAGAGGATAAAGACAGCCATGACCCGAACTATGAACTGGTAAGTTATCATACCTAGTGCAATTAATTATTTTTTAATTCTTTATCGCTAAAGAGAATTCCAATACAACCAGCGTATCCCGGATTCGGTTGCAAGGTATTTGTGCGACCTGGACGAATTGGTAGTATACTCTGGCCCGCAAAAAAAGAAGTTCATTTTCAACTAGAACGCCGGCAGGAGGGAACGTTTATGGTGAAAAGTGGTTGGCATGAAGTAGCTGATTTTTATCAACTATTGCTCGAGTTGATCCTGCATTTAAAATATTATTGGGAAAACGTATTTTTTCTTACTGCGTATTAGGATGGTGTGGAGTGTTTGGGTTTGTAGTCCTTGGAGTACCGGATAGGTACTCATTGATGGAGTTTGCCCTTATCAGTGACTTGAGCTGCTCGGAGTTGAATACGTAGTTCGAAGCATAATATGATGCGAATGCTCGGAATAAATTTCTTGAAGATCACTTCCCTCTGGTACTCTGTTGACTAAAAGTCTATTGGAGTACCAGTGGGAAGTGATCTTCAAGAAATTTTTTCCGAGCATTCGCATTGTAGGATGCAAATGCTCGGAACAAATTTCTTGAAGATCACTTCCCTTTGGTACTCCAATAGACTTTTAGTCAACACAGTACCAGAGGGAATTGATCTTCAAGAAATTTTTTTCCGAGCATTCGCATCATATTATGCTTCGAACTATGTATTCAACTCCGAGCAGCTCAAGTCACTGATAAGGGCAAACTCCATCAATGAGTCAAATTCTATTTGGTAGTGGTCTAATAAAATATAACATATAAATTTATTGTTTTGAAACACCATTTAATGATTTGTAATAAAAAAAGTGCATGAAAAGGTCTATTTTGGAAGGGTCGAAAGCTTGTCCAAATATTTCGAAATTCTTTTTAGTAGTCGAAACTCTGTTGATGGCCCAAGCGTATTTAATTTTAAAAATATGTTTGATTTAGGATGTTCTTATGCTTTTTCAGCAAAACTCGTTAAGTGCTAATAAGATAAAACTAAAAAATTCATATTTGAAGGAATTACTATTATTAACAAAAAAAGTCCAAGTAATGATACTTCTCGATTTTTTTCCAGGAATTAGTAATGTTTCTAATTTTTCAATAAATACAAGAAACCTTTTTAATGTTAAGAATTAAAAAAACAAGAAAAAAAATTTACCTTAAATATTCTAACCTTTATTTATTTGTGAAAAATAAACTTTATCCAAAAATTTATTGTTTTGAAAGACCATTTAATGATTTGTAATAAAAAAAAGTGCATGAAAAGGTCTATTTGGCAAGGGTCGAAAGCTTTTCGAAATATTTCAAAATTCTTTTTAGTAGTCAAAAGACCTACTCCATCTAAAGGTCAAATTGGTCGAATTATCCAATAAGAAAAAGTAAGATGCCTAAGAACTTAACTGAAAAAAGAGTTGTACAAACACATTAAATCCCCAGGCACGCATACCTGGAAAAGATCAGATAATGATAATGTTCATTAAAAAACAATCAATTAAATTGTTGTTTACCGTCTGTGATGACGGTAAACTCCCACCATAAAGGTGTTGTTCCCCACCAGCCTCATCACAAGCTTATCCCCAACACGCAAACCATTCGAATCAACAAAGTAATGTCACATTCTCTTCAGGAACCCATCACCAATACAATCAACCTTGAGTGTGCAGACCATGGGCTGCATGTTGGGTCCTATGAGAGTGACATCTGTTCTTCCCTCTACAAAGCCATTTGCTTCACAAAATTCTTCACTTAAGGGCTGAGACAATAACGGATTAAAATTCATTAATTGATGGAGGAAAATACACCATGTATTCCAAAAATTCATCAAGAACAAAAAATTTGTGATTGGTCGAATTTGGTCAAAAAGGTAAAATTCATCGAATTTGGTCAAAAAGGTCAAAAAGATCAGATAATGATATTGTTCATTAAAAATGATATTTTAAAAGCATACCAGCTTCTGGGATGACTCCCGAAAGTGTGATTCTTCCAACTTGCAAACAAAGACGTCATCATCATCATCTGTAACATCATCTACATCTGATAATTGCAAATCACCGCATACATTACAGTTAGAATTAGAAAGAATTCGGGGAGGGCGGGTAAAATATACCATATTTCAAAGTCTTACCAGAATCATAATCAGGAATTCTTATTGGGTAGTCAACTTCTGAACCAAGGGTCGAAATCACAATGGCTGTGTATGCTGTCTCTGATAATTTTTGAACAGAATATGCCAAAGATTTTGGCATTGGTGGTCATAAAGAAAGTATCTCCATCCATTCTCGGCAGCGAATCGATGATTGCCGTCATCTCCAAGAACAACTCGGACTGGATAGCACCCAATCCGAGTATATATATCCAATCTCTCCTCCCGTGGATGATAGCGAGAAGCAATGACCTGTAAATCATGAAATCGAGTTTAAAACCAAGCATGCATGTGTTAGTCATAGCATTCAAATGAAATCTTACCGTGCCGGTATAAGCATCCCTTCTGATGACCACCACGAAATCTGATTGCGGCATTTTTACTCACAGCGGCGTTGGAGAGTGTTCGTGAAGGTATAAAGAGAGGGAGTCGCAGTCGAAGCGTTGGAAGCGGGCGGAAGCGACGAGGAAAGAAGAAGAAGAAGAAGAAGAAGAAGAAGATAAAGGTTGGAATTTATGAGAAATTTTGACTTTTCAATTCTCATCTAACATAAATGTGGCGTGGGACTCACAGAAAATTACTCCGTACAAAATTTCCTCTATATTTAACAAAATTTTGTCCAATTTTGTCTTTGTCGTATCTCTAATTTTGTACATTTTGGAGCAGTACGGAACCGTACTACATTCCCAATCCTCAGATTCTATAATGTTGACTGTAATTTGGACAAGTAGGACCATTACTGTTGCGCTGATCAATATTGTTGTGGAAAAGTACTCTCGGTGGGGGACCTTGTTTCTAGATTTTTTATATTTCTTATTTTTAGATTTTATTTCTAGATTTTATTTCAATATTTCTAGATTTTATTATTTTTTTCTATTTTTTATAATACTCTTCATTAACACAGTCTGAAGTCCGAATATAATTGTTAGAACTACCTCTATAGTTATCCTCTTAAATGGACTGCTACATCCACTACCGTCCGAACTTAATTCTTAACGCCAACAGGTACGACTACCGCTACAGTTATCCTCTTAACTGGACGGCTACATCCACTACGGTCCGAACTTAATTGTTAACACCAACAGGTACGACCTTGCTACAGTTATCCTCTTAACTGGACTGCTACATCCACTACGGTCTGAACTTAATTCTTAACACCAACAGGTACAACCTTGCTACAGTTATCCTCTTAAATGGACTGCTACCTCCACTACGGTCCGAACTTAATTCTTAACACCAACAGGTACGACTCTCTTAACTAGACTGCTACATCCGCTACGGTCCGAACTTAATTGTTAACACCAACAGGTACGACCTTGCTACAGTTATCCTCTTAACTGGACTACTAC